CTCAGAGACCTGATGGCAGCTAGCGGTCAGTCAGAATCTTTTCACAGGCAGTGGGTTGGGTTTGGTGGAAAATACCTGAGGGCATTAGCACTTGAGTGTTCTAAACCCATGTCAGTGTGGCAGATTGAATGTAGATTTCAAGCTAGCGTACTTCAGGAGCAGGTACCACCCATGTGTCAGTGAAGACTTGTATATTTCTATGATGCTGAACAAGATTCAGCAGAGTTTCCAAACGAAAATGGACTAGGAAGAGAAACCTTGTCATCTCCTTCTGAGAATCAGCCACTAAAAACCTGCTAAACAGATCAGTGATCTGGGAGCTCTGGTGGCCTAGTGGCAAGAAGCTGGGCTAAAATCCTGAAGGCACGCAGTTTGAGGCCACCAGCTGCTCTCTGGGAGAAGGATGGGCAATCTCCTTCCATGTGAATAACTGCTTCTGAAAACTCGCTGGCCAGAGAGTCACTATGGATTGGTTCCTATTTTACAGTACACAACAACAATAACAAAGAATTGATCTCAAGTCAACCATGGGAGTGATACAGGAAGTGACACTGCTTCTCCTTTGTGCACGGATTTTTCCATGAGCTAGGGCTGACGTGATAGCAGCGAGGTACAGCAACATGAGAAGATAATGCACCTGAAGTCACTGATTTATTCCCTGAAAAATCTGGCACGTATTGTTTAAGGCCTTAAAATAATACGAAGCTGTTAAATGTATATGTCAATATATCTAATAACACCTTTATAAGTGTCTTAAAGGCTTTTGACTGTGGATCACAACAAGCTATGGCTGATTCTGAGAAGAATGGGAATCCCAGAACATTTGATTGTAAAACCTATACTTGGACCAAGAGGCAGTCGTCAGAACAGAGCAGGGAGACACTGGATGGTTCAAAATCAGGAAAGGAGTCTGTCAGGGATATATTTTGTCTCCATACCTTTTCAATCTGTATGCAGAACAGATCATCTGAGATGCTGGGCTGTACGAGGAGGAATGTGGCATCAAGATTCTGGAAGAATCATCCACAACCTGCGTTATGCAGATGACACAACCTTGCTCGCTGAAACTGAGGAGGACCTGAAGCACTTGCTGCAGAAGGCCAAGGACTGCAGTCTTCAATATGGATTGAAGCTCAATATCAAGAAAACAAAGATTCTCACCCCTGGGCCAATTGGCAGCATCAGTATGGATGGTGAAAAGATTGAGATAGTAAACGGTTTTCGTTTACTTGGTTCCACAGTCAACACTCTTGGAAACAGCAGCCAGGAAATCAGGAGATGAATTGCATTGGGAAAGTCAGCTGTGAGGGACCTCTCAAGAGTACTGAAGAGCAACGACATCAGGCTGGAGACTAACATGCGCCTGATCCAGGCTATAGTCTTTGCAATTACGTGCTATGCACCTGAGAGTTGGACAGTGAATAGAGATGATAGAAAGAGAATTGAGGCCTTTGAGTTGTAGCGCTGGAGAAGAGTGTTGAATATGCCATGGACTTCTAGGAGAACAAACAGGTTTGTCCTGGAGAGGGTGAAGCCAGAATGTTCCCTGGAGTCAAGAATTCTGAAGCTTCGTCTGACATATTTTGGGCATGTTGCAAGGAGGGACTGGTCCTTGGAGAGAGACATCATATTTGGGAGAGTGGAGGGATGGTGCAGGAGAGGAAGATCCTCAATAAGATGAGTTGATTCTGTGAGTGGAATGGTGGGAATGAATGTGTTTGAGACAGCAAGGTTGGTACAGGATAGAACGGCGTTTAGAGCTCTGTACATAGGGTCGCTATGAGTCGCAAACGACTCGATGGCACATAACAACAACAACAATGAGTGATTACAAATTTGAAATCAAGATTCAAATATACTAAATACCTTTCTTTTCATTTTATGTCTTCCCTTTTTAAAGATGAAAGAAATTCTCAATATCTAATATGGTTCCTTTTTTGTTATATTCAGTACATTCTGCTGAAGGATTTTTTTTAAATTTTAATTTAGTTTGTTTATTTTTCATTTCAATGAACATCTACAGAGATTTTGGAATTCCATTCATTCATTGCTGCACCCTTCTCCCCGCACAAACCCCCCCCCCCCCTTTGCTCCTCTCCTTGAAAAGCAAAAGAAAAACTCCCTCATTGGTACACAATCCCCCCGCACCTCCCCAAACCCCACCCCCTACCTGCAAATATAATCCACCCTGCAACCCTCATTGCGTACTCCTACGATAAAAATAATGCCCTAAAATATAATACTTTTAGACTATTCTCTCCCCCATAGACTTCAATGCCATAAACATATTTCATCCAGTTTTTCTCAGTCTTACCCCACCCCAATGCCAGCCTCATTCTACAACAGTGGCACCATATAGCATTTGTCCCTTTGTGACTGAGATACCTCACTCAGCATAATGTCCTCCAGGGTCACCCATTTTGAATAATATTGCATGAGTTCCTTGTTTTTCAATGCAGCGTAGTATTCCATTGTGCGAATATACCACAGCTTCTCTACCCATTCGTTTGTTGATGGGCATTTAGGTTGTTTCCAACTCCTTGCTATTGTAAACAAAGCCGCGATAAACATGGGTATACATATATCTACTTGGATGTCATTTATGGTCTCTTTAGGGTATATTCCCAGTAGTGGAATTGCTGGGTCAAATGGTATCTTTATTTGCAACTTTTTGAGAAAACGCCACAATGCTTTCCACAGTGGTTGCACCATTTTACACTCTACCAACAGTGAATAAGGGTTCCAGTCTCTCCACAACCTCGCCAACATTTGTTGCTTGCTGTTCTGTTAAATTTTGCTAGTCTTACTGGAGTGAGATGATATCTCATGGTTGTCTTGATTTGCATCTCTCTCAGGGCTAGGGATTTTGAACATTTCTTCATGTGCTTGTTGGCCATCTGAATGTCTTCCTTGGTGAAGTGTCTGTTCATATCCTGTGCCCATTTTTCAATTGGATTATTCTCCTTTATCTTGTTGTGGTGGCTGAAGGATTTTTTTAAAGTCTAGAATTTAAGACATTAGAATAATAAAAAAAATGTGTGCAGATCTTTATTTTGGGAAAATATTAAAAGTATCCTTTAAACCTTGAGCTCATCGAGTAAATATCTCCATAACTAGGTGGAATCACAGTGCCTTTAACAATAGGCCTGAGCATATCAGAGATTGTAAGGGATGGTGCAGGATGGGACAGAATTCAGATCTCTTGTTCATAACGTTAGTGTGAGTTGAAGTCGACTCTATGGCACCTGACAGCAACAGTAGTTGGAGTAATTTTGGGACAATGAGTTTCATTCCATGAGAACTATTGCTTTAATTAAATGGATTTATTTTAAGACCATCTTAAGAATGACTAAGCAATTCTGGACTTTCAAACTGGGCCAATTCCTAAAAAGTAGCTGGTCTTTACTTATTCTTACTTTCATCACTAGATAACCCTACAGGTCCTTGCAATCTATTTACATCCTCAATTCTCAGTGTAGTTTTCTAGTCTCCTGGGAACAGTAGCTTAATTTAAAACCCTTTACCACTTTTCTTTAAAATAAAGGGGATGTGTAGCATCTTTTATCATTTTTCTAAATAAAATGAGAGTGAATATTAGGTGCACCTTTTAATTATAAAGGAAAGTGTTTTAGTGACATCTGGAGGCACAAACTACAATGTACAAGTATAGACTCTGCATGAGAGAGAAGTTGCAAGATTCTAGGGATAAGTGGTCACTGTAGGGACTTGCTGTTCTAGGGAGGAGTTACAGGCTCTGCCCCCAGGCTCTGCTCGCAGGTTCAGCTTCCAGGCTCTGCTCACGGGCTCTCTTCCCAGGCTCTGCAGAGTATCAGTGTCCTACCATCTTTTTCCTCCTGCTCACACTGCTTTAGAAAGAGATAATACCAAGGGCTCTTATCTGTCGTACAGCAAAGTTCTGGCAAAAACATTCATTTGGTTATGACTCTCATTTGTATTTTTTATTTGAATTAATAAGGTGACACAATATAGAAATAATCATGTTCAACTACATTAAAGCTTATTGGCAGAATGCCCTTTAGAGAAACTAGATGTGGTGTCATTGTAAATGGAAGAAACTACAATTAAGAGCAAAGATAACATCTATAAATCAAATTGCATATTTAAGTCAGTGCAAGATGTGGCTTAGTTTGCCAGTATTGTCATTTACACACAACTTAAATCATACATATATTGTACAAAGTGAAGTACATACAAAATTTAAACAGATTATGTCATTGAAGAAGAATAATAGCAATTACGATTTTTTTGCACTCTTATTTTACGTAGATTAAGTTTAACATGCACAGATAAGCCTCTGCTTTGCTCTGTCAAATCTGAAGCCTAGAATCATGGGATTGTCAGGATGGATTATTCAAACAGTTCATTTACTGATGAAATAGGAAGACAGCTACCTAATTCTGGTAGAAATTTCACAGCACTATAACCCCTAATCCCAGTAAAGAGATAAAACAGAGTTATGAGAAAGAGTGGAGTTCTACTTAGCAATGAGAGAATTTCTTATGGTCTAAAGAAATTAGCAGAAAGCACTTGAAGGTATACTACAAAGTCCTAGGAGTTCCAAATCAAAGCTGTTCTCCTTCCAATGGTACAAACTAAGTACATCTTATTTTTTTCCTTGCTGCAAACAATTTAGTTAACTGGAAAATTTTTCCTGATGAAAACAGCCAATTTCATAGCAGAAGTTCACGGGAAAAGGAGGCCACTTGGTAGAAAATGACTCTGCAAGCAATGTGCAAGGACCTTGCAATAAAATGATCCATCCAAGCATTGTCTTGCTCACGTGAACTTAACAAATTGTTGTTTCCTTTTAAAATTGGAAGGGACGATGGTGTATAAACAGAACCTGTCTGTACTCGAGTAGCATGATTCTAGGTATTGATATATGCAATAACAAGTGCTCAAAGCAGGCCAAATAATTACTAAGTACTCCTCCTTTGCGTTACACAAGGATCAAAATATGTGCTAACTTTCCAACCGCATCACTGCACTGACTGTGCATTCACTAATTTAAAGTATATGTCTCGATTCCTCAGGAGCTCTTGATGAGATCCCTGCTCCTTTATTTTCCCGTCATGCAGAACCACTATCACATCTGCGTTCTGCACTGTGGAGAGTCTGTGGGCCACCACGAGGCACGTCCTCCCCTTCCTGGCTTTGTCCAGGGCATGCTGCACTACCTGGAAGAAAGAAAGAGTTGTGCTCACCAGCTTCAGATGCAAAAACTGTTTAAGCCAAAGCAATAGAGGTAATCTAATAACGTTCTTTGTCTTATTAGTGATCCCCATGGAAAGTGCCCTGTATTGTGAGATCCTCACCCTACTCAAAAGACATCAGGGAAAAGGAATTATAGACACATCAAGTAACATTTTCAATTGGAAAAGCTTCTGTGACAATAAGATGGACTTAATTGGTTATGCATAAGTACATGTGTAATTAAAAAGCTTCCCATTCAGAGCCAGTACCGAATATTTTCACACCTAAATAGGCATGTCTAACTTAGTTCAGGATAGAGCAGAGTTCAGAGCTGTTGTACATAGGGTTGCTATGAGTCACAGTTGACTCAACAGCACATAACAACAGCAATAATTTAACTCTCTCCTCCATCTCTCTCTTTCTCATCCTCTCTTGTTCTAATTTAAATAGCATTTCTGTTAATACAGATATTATAATGCTAGATAGACGGTATTGGAATGGAGAGTGAAAACCAGGTTTTGTTAAATAGATAAAATATTTTTGGGATATTTTATCTATTTAAAAATCTACAATAAATCGACAATAACCCTATAAGAGGAAGTTATTTTGCCTTTTTCTAATGCATAACTGAGTTTCTTAGAATCTAAGTTGGTTGACCAGGACTACATTGCAAGTAACAGATAACTCCATATTATATTCCAGATTTGTCTGATTTCAATAGTCCTGGGCTTTGCTTTTATAGTACAGTTTTTCACTGGGAAGTAAGAATGATATTCAACTACAAAGAGCAGTTTGTATGGGGGCTAAGAGCTGGGCTCTTAAGTTAGATACCCACCTAACAGGATTTAGGGAACTCAACCTTTCTAAACCTCAGTGTGCTAATCTGTAAAATGGGCATGTTAACAATAAAATAAGCTAATTTATCAGGTTGTTATAAGAATTAAAAAGGATATCCCATAATAAGTACTCCATAAATTTAATGATTCTCACTTGTTTAGCAACGACAACAATGTGCAGGAAAGTGCTAAGTGAACAAGGCATATAAAAATTAAACATCTGAAGGAGTTTGCAGTATTTATGATGCCATTGATAAATTGAGCAGACTAATTGTCTGTAGAAGATAGAATGACTAGCCTTTACTGACTACAGTATAGGCCACTCTTTCAAATATATATAAATTTCATTATTCATTCATATGGTACCACTGGAATAAGAACTGTATAATAGAAAAATAATTTTACTTGGGCATTTTCCTACACTGTAACAGCACTCAAGGATTCCCCAATCCCTTTTGTTACAGAGATGAAATGAAGTAGGAAAACCTTTCCAGAATATGACCTGCCTTCCATCCCAACTCTGCTACCACTTCACCAACCGCGTACAATGCTGGTGACATAGTTTTTTCCCCAGGCTTTTCTTTCTCCAACATAACCTTGGCTTGATTCCACTGTGATATGTGGTACTGTGCTCTGTGATCAAAGGAGAAGATATTACCTTTTCACTCTCGTTATCAAGGGCTGATGTGGCTTCATCCAACAATAAAATTTTTGGTTTACGAAGAAGAGCCCTCGCAATAGCTATTCTTTGTTTCTGGCCTCCAGAAAGCTGTGCACCTTTCAGTCCAACTTGTGTGTCGTATTTCTATTACAGGAACATGTAAATGAATTAAAAAAAAAAAAACAAACCAAAAACAAAAACACAAAAACCCAACAAACACAAAACAACCAAGCCCAATGTTTTGTTATTTAAAATTAGCATTGCAACTGTGGGCGAGAACCTTCTAACTATTTAAAATTTGTTTGAAAATTTGTGTCTGAACAAATGCTGAAATCCTTATTGGGTTTTGTTTCAAATAAATATTAAACCAACAGTAAACACTACCATTTCAATTACATATCTAAGCTGATCACAGATCTTAGGTCTATAAACATTTTAATTAAAGCTTAACTTTAAAAAAGGACAAAAACAATTGCAATGTACAAAACCACCTCACCACTTTATATTTTTAGATTGGAATTACAATATTCTAAAACAACAAGGAAAATGTTGGGCTATTTCACTTTGACTCTCAGTAAACCTTTACAGAATTCAGTCATAGGATAGGATGTTGTTCTTCAAGAAGCTTTCATTCTTCTGAGACAGTTTAGTCATCTTTTCAGGCCATAATGATGATATTTAGCACTCTGGCTCCAAGCTTCCCTGGCTTTCCAATTTACTAACATCCCTTTTTCAATGGATAGCCAGGAGATTTCATACATATCCGGAAGCCACTGTGATCTCCATAAATCATGAAGAGTGAGTGAATTCAGTTGGTTCAAGTAGACCCATGTTTGCCTTCAAGATTGTCCTGTGTCTCTGCTTCCCTTTAAGGTCCAACAATTCTTTACTAGTAACCCTTGCTAATTGTCTGACAAATCCATGCCACTGGTTGTTGTTGTTGTTGTTGTCATGTGCCGTCGAGTCGTTTGTGACTCATAGCGACCCTATGTACAACAGCCCTAAACCCTGCTCTATCCTGTGCCAATATCATTGCCTCTGACACACCCTTCCCGATTACCCCAGTCACTGAATCAATCCACCTCATAGAGGGTCTTCCCCTCCTGCACTGTCCCTCCACTCTGCCCAGCATGATGTCCCTCTCCAAAGACCTGTCTTTCCTTACAACATGTCCAAAGTATGTCAGGCGAAGCCCCAGAATCCTTGCCTCCAAGGAGCAGCCTGGTTTAACCCTCTCTAGGATCAATCTATTTGCTTTCTTGGCAGTCCATGGTACATTCAGTACTCTTCTCCAGCACCACAGCTCAAAGGCGTCAATTCTCCCAGTCATTGTCCAACTCTCTGATGCATAACAAGTGATTGCAAAAACCATGGCCTGTATCAGGCACACCTTAGTCTCCAGAGAGACACCGTTGCTCTTGAGTACTTTAGAGAGATCCCTAACTGCAGACTTTCCCATCGCAATACGTTTTTTGATTTCCTGGCTACTGGTGCCAAGAGTGTTGACCGTGGAGCTGAGCAAACTGAAGCTGTGAACAATCTCAATCTCTTCACCATCCATCCTGATGCTACCGATTGGTCCAGTGGTGAGAATTTTTGTCTTCTTGACATTGAGCCTCAGTCCATATTGAAGGCTGCAGTCCTTGACCCTCTGCCATTGGTACCCAATTTAAAAAAAATAAAATATGGGTGAATCAGCTCCACTGAGGGAGCAGCCAAAGTGTCTAAAACCTTCTCGTCATGCAGAATCAGGCATGGCTCCTGCAGCAGTATTGGGGGGGTGGGGGCAGTACCCTGTCCAGAGGCTTCTCCGTGCTTGCCACCTTCCCCGACCTGCTCTTCATCCTCGAGTTTGTCTTCGGTGGCCTGGTATGGATCCTGGTCGCCTCCTCCCTGGTGCCCCTCTTGATGGTCCAGGGCTGGGTGATGTTCATGTCTGTGTTCTGCTTCGTGGCCACCACAACCCTGTTTGTCCTGTATATGATTGGTGTCCACGGCGGGGATACTGCCTCGGTCACTGGATGCAGCCTACCACTCTGCCGCTGCCCTGTTTTACCTCGGCGCCTCCGTCCTGGATGCCTGGGCCACCATCATCATGCATGACGGCTTCACCTACAAGCAGTATGGTGAAAACATCTCTGCTGTGGTGTTCTCCTAAGTAGCCTCTCTGCTGCACGTGGTCCACGCAGTGTTTTCCTTAATCCGATGGAAGTCTGCGTAGAGCAGTGGAAGAACTTTTAAAAGCCAGTCGGTGGTAACTGTTCAGCCAGCTTTCCAGCTTAACTTTTCAAAGCCAGGAACTCTCATTGTTGAGGGAAAAGGGAAAAATAAGGCGGTGCAGGGAAACAGAGCTCTGTCTCTTCAGTGGTGTTTACTCCCCTTGTACCTTCATGCCAGGCTGAGGCTTGCTGCATTTAAACTCCAATTCTTGAGTTGTCTTTGCTGGGCCATTTCCTATTTGTGAAAGGAGGTCGTGGGGGTGGGAGGAGGGGACTGTGAGGTGAGACAGCAGAGACCCTCTGCTAGCCCCTGGATCGACCCTGAGAACTGTCTTTGGGAACTACCTACTAGCTTTCCTTAGCAACCCTTCCCATGACATAAGTCTTAATGGAGGTTGCAGGGACCACCCAACAGGTATTTGCAATTGTCTACAGTGGAAGAGGACTAAACTTTGAAATATAAAAAGCCTTCATGTTAACAAACAAACAAACAAACAAACAAAAACCAACCTTCTCAAGGTGGAGGTGTAGACACATTACAGAGAAGACAAAGTGCATGATTATAATATTGGTCATTTTATTGGCTCAGAAATGTCTGAGTTAAATGTCTTTCTTTCCATATCTGATTACCTTTAGGAGGTATCCTTGAGCAGGGTAATACTGAGAGAATGTGCCCTAATTGTACAACAAATGTACTTCCCTATCTCAAAATTTGCTTAAATTTAAAATGCACAGTTGTTTGCTATGTGATTGCTTGAATTACCAATGCTAGTAAAATGAGACTTTTTCTTAAGTGAATGCTCTAGAAAGAAAATACACTTTAGCGATGATCTCTTCAGCAATCTATTTGGTGTTGCCAACAGGCAGGGATTCTTCCTCCTAAAAGATATTTTACTTAGAATCATAGGGCAGGGTAGTCAGATAAAACTGTCACCTGTTTCCACTCTACACTCATCCAAATTAGAGGATCCAATCTTACACCAAAAACTAGGGTGGGGAAGATAAGAATGAATTTGTATGTAGCCTTTATAGTATCATTACTATCCCATGCAAGCAAAATAATATTGAAGATCATTCAAAATAGAAGAACACATAGAGAATGACTAAATAGTCAAGCTGGATTTAGAAGAGACATAGGGATATCATTACTGGTGTCAAAGGTATCCTCCTGGTTGCAAGCAGAGAATATCAGAAAAATGTCTGTTTGTGCTTTATTGACTATACAAAGGCATTTGACTGTGGATAATAGCAAACTATGGCTAATGTTGAGAAGAATAGGACTTCCAGAACACTTGAATTTGCTCAAGTAAAACATATATTTTAACCAGGAGGTTATTGTATGAACAGAGCAGGGAAATACTGTGTGGTTTAAAACTAAGAAAGATATGTGTCAGGATTGTATCCCTTCTCCATACCGATTTAATCTGTTGTTGTCAGGTGCCATCGAGTTGCGTACAAGCCATAGCAACCCGATGAACAATAGATTTGAACCCTATCTTATCCTGTGGCATATTCATGTTTCCTGACACACTGGAGCCCATTGCTGCAATCACCATGTTAATTCACCTTGTTTGAGAGTCTTCCTTTCTTTCGTCAATCATCTACTCTTCAAGCATCTTGTCCTTCTCCAAGGAACAGCCCCTCCTAGAAACATGCCTGAAGTATGTGAAGCAAAACATCATCATCTTTGCCTCCAAAGAACTCTCAGGCTGCTCCATCTCAAAGACATGCTTATTTGTTCTTCTAGCAGGCCATGGAATGTTCAGTGTTCTTCTCCAACACCACAGCTCAAAGGCGTCAATTCTTCTGTCATTCTTATTCATTGTCCAACTCTCAGATGTACAGCAAATGATTGGGAAGACCATGTCTTGAATCAGATGCACCTTAGTCCTCAAACTAACATCATCATTGGAGAGTTCCCTAACTGCAGACTTTCCCAGGGCAATGTGTCTCCTTATTCCTGACCAAGGGTGATAATTGTAGATCTAAGTAAGATGGAGTTTTTGACAGTTTCACCCTCTTCTCCATTCTTCATGATGTTGCCTATCAGTCTAGTGGTAAAAAACTTTGTTTTCTTGACATTGAGATGTGTGCAATCCATATTGAAGGCTGCATTTCTTGATCTTCTACAAGTACTTCAAGTTCTCCTTAATTTCAGCAAGCAAGGTGTGTCATCTCTGTAACACGGGTTACTGATGAGTTTCCTTCCAATTCTGATACCACATTCCTCTTCATAGATTCCAGCTTCTCAAATAATTTGGTCAGCATAAAGACTGAATAGGTTTTGAGAGAGAATACAACCCTGATGCACTCCCTTGTTAATTTTAAACCATGCAGTGTTCCCTTGCTCTGTTCACACAATAGCCTCCTGGTCCAGGCATAAGTTACACATGAGCACAATTAAGTGCTCTGGGAATCCTATTCTTCTCAATGTCAGCCACAATTTGTTATGATTCACACAGTCAAAAGTCTTTGTCTAGTCAATGAAGCACAAATAGACATTCTTCTGATCTGACATCAGCAAATAGCCATGGTGCCATGGCCTCTTCTAAATCTGCTTGAATTTCTTGGTGGTCTATGGTCTGTTCAAGACTCTTCTCCATCACCACAACTTAAAGGCATCAATTCTTCTTCTGTCATCCTTAGTCATTGTCCAGCTCTCAGATGCATAGAAAATAATTGCAAAGACCATGGTCCGGATCAGGCATGCCTTAGTTTCTCAACTGACATCGTTGCTTCTCAGTACTCTGGATAGCAGATTTTCCAAGTGCAATTTATCTTTTAATTTCCTGACTGCTGGTGCCAAGGGTGTTGATTGTAAAGCCAAGCAAGCTGTAACCATTAACAACCTCAATCTCTTCTCCATCCATCCTGGTGCTGCCAATTAGCCCATTGCGGAGAATTTTTGTCTTCTTGATGATGAGCTTCAATCCATATTGAAGACTGCAGTCCTTGACCTTCTGCAGCAAGCGCTTCAGGTCCACCTCACTTGCAGCAAGCAAGGCTGTGCCATCTGCATAATGTAGGTTGTTGATGAGTCTTCTTCCAATCCTGTGTTGTTGTTAAGTGCCATTGAGTCATAGGCAACTCATAGCGACCCTACGAACAAAAGACCTGGACACTTGTGTAACTTTCATCCTTTCTCCAGGCTCATAGAGTTACATTTCTTAATATGATCCCACAACTCATCTGGTCTTCAATCATTGGTGCTCAATGACTTAAATCTATTCTGAAGATGATCTTGAAATTCAGATGGAAAAGAGAAAATATCATGGTTCTTGTGGACTTATTTTACTTTTCTTTGGCCTCAATTTGAACTTGCATATAAGTAATTGATGGTGTGACCCATAGTCTGCTTCTGGACTAGTTTTGACTGCCAATACTGATTTCCTTCAATGATTTCTTCCACAGATGTAGTAAATCTGATTCCCATGCAGCCCATCAGCTAAGATTTATGCATAAAATAGGACATTATGCTGAGTGAAATATCTCAGTCACAAATACTTCATAGTACCACTGTTGTAGAATGGTATTGACATCAGGGTTGGGGTGGGATTGAGAAAAATTGGATAAATTATGTATACTGCATTGAAACAGATGAGGGAGAGAACAGTTTAAAAGTGATATATATGATTGGGTATTATGGTATGACAAGAGTCCAGAATGAAGGTTGTATAGTGGAGTGTACTCGGGGGGTGGGGGGATTATATTATATACCAATGAAAGAATTTTTCTTTTACTTTTCAAAGAAAAGAGCGAACTGGGGGGTGGGGGGTGGGCAGGGAGAAAAATGCAACAATAAATGAATGGAAATCCAAAATCTCTGTAAATGTTCATTAAAATTAATAAAATAAAATGTAAAAAATTGTCATTTGTATCTTTTAAAAAGGATATTTGCAATGAATAAATCATTGAAAATACAAAATTCAGTCATTCTATTTCCAGCTGCATTTCCATCACCAAGCCCATATTTTCCAACTACTATTCCTTCTTCATGTTTCCAACTTTTGCATTCCAGTTACCAATTATCATTATTAACACATATAGCATGTTCGGTCAATTCTGACTGCAAGATATTGTAAAAATTTTCAATTTCTTCCTCTTTGGCTCTAGATATAGGAGCATACATTTGCATAATAGTCATGTTAATGGGTCTTCCTTGCATGAGTATGGATAATCAATGTCCTATCGCTCACAGCATTGAATTTCAGAATATAACTTGAAATTGACTTTTTACTATGAATACAACATTCTTCAGTTTTTCATTTCCAGCATAGTATAATCTATGATTATCTGATTCAAAGTGGCCAAATCTGGTTCTTCTCATCTCACGAATGCCTAGTATGTCAACGTTCACATGTTCCATTTCAGTTTTTATAATTTCTAATTGTCGAACATTAAAACTATGTACATTCCATTTTCCAATTGTTATACAATGTTTATGATTATTTTTCCTCATTTCAACTGACTTCCAATCTGGGCTCTTCCATTACATTATTATAAATATCTGCATTCCTCTAGTGTTCATAGGATTTTCAAAGGCCTGTTATCTAAGAAGTAAATGGCCAATCTTGCTTCCTAGTCTGTTTTAATCTGGGAGTTCTAGCAAAACCTGCCCACCATGGGTAACTCTTATGGCATTAGTCACACCAATGGCACAGCTTTCAGTATTACAGCAATCCTAAATTATCACCATTATCACAGTTATTTTAAATATCAGGATCCATTGGGAGGGCCTTTGTAATTAAATGTCAGTTAGGTTTGGCCTAAGAGCCTCCTGCATGGAGCCTCCTATTTGAAGCAGTTGGTTTCTGGAAGGTAATTTGTTTTGATTTAATTAACAATCAAGGGTAAACTGCTTGGTCATTTTTTAAAAATTTAATTAATAGTTAGTTATAAGCTAATTGGTCAGTGTAAGCTTCCAACCTGGGGTGACAACTGATTTGGTATTGGAGTTTCAAACTAAATTGGCAGTTTGTTGTGTTTGGGAACTAAATTTAATCTGTATCCTGAGCAAAATATAGCATCAAGATTTGAGGAAAATTCATAAATAGACTTTATTATGCAGATGACAAAACCTTGTTTGCTGAAAATGAGGAGGACTTGAAACACCTGTTGTAGAAGGTTAAACAGGTGCAGCCTTCAATGTGGATTACATCTCAGGGTGATGAAAACAAGAGACCTTGCCACAAGACTGATAGGTAACATCATGATGGAAAGATTGAGAGTGTCAACAGCTTTATCTGTCTGGAGATCAAGAGGTTTATTACACTGGGAAAATCTGTAGCCAGGGACTTCTCCAAATTATTGAAGAGTAATGATGTCAATTTGAGGACTAAGGTGCTCCTGATTCAGGCCATGGTCTTTTTACCTACCTGATATTCATCTGAGGACAGTGCCTAAGGATAAAAGAAGAATTGATGCTTTTGAGTTATGGTGTTGAATAAGATTACCGAAAGAATAAACAGATATGTCTTGGAAAAGGTACAGCCAGAGTGCTCCTTGGAGGCAAAGATGATGAGGCTTTGTCTCACATACTTTGGGCATGTTGTTAAGAGAGGTTATTCATTGGAGAAGGGCATCATGCTTGGGAAGGTGGAGGGTCAGTGAAAGAGAGGAAAACCTTCAACTAAATGGGTTGACACTTGTTCATAGGTTTGTTATGAGTCATACTTGACGGCACCAAACAACAATACAACACCACCTTCTATTGTACTTGGGACTCTTCCAGTGTAGCTCAAGAGATCTAAAACTACCTTAAGGATCACTTTGCATATTTTCATTTTTATTAGATTGTAGGAAGATGTACATTTTAACAATCAATTGGATGAAAATGAAACTCACAAGAGAAAGACAGGTGGGTGCAGTTCAGTGGTGATCAATTTTATAAAAGATCGTGAATGTGAATGATTGTATGAGGCACAATGTGAATGAAGGGTAGTGTGAAACACAATTAATATGAACTTTGTAAGCAAATCAATATAAAACTTAAAAAATGAAAAAGTCAGTCAAAAGTTAAAAAAAAATCAAACTGAAACCTGTTGCTTTTGAGTCAGTTCTGGCTTATGGCAATTCCTATGTAACGGAGTAGAATCCCAGATTCCTGCCTCACAGGATTTCTAAGACTGAAATCTCCATGGAAGCAGATGACTTCCTTTTTCGACTTCAGCTCAGGTGGGTTCTGACAATCAAACTTTCAGTTAGTAGTTGAGTTGAGTTTAACCACTGCGTCATCAGGGATCCTTAGTCAATAGCTTCTTAAAACACATTTTCAGATAAGCTGAAATTTCGTGCTTTCTTATTTAAATGTAATCTATTTTGTGGCATACTCTGGGGTAATGAGTGACCTGGAGTTCCTTCTTTTACCAAGTGAAGCCTTACAGGTTTACTTACAGAGACATAAACCTCAGTTCAGTCCTGCAGGGAACACCAGAAAGACTAATCCTAAATCAGCCACACTCTAGAGAAGCCCTGATGCCCAAGGGAGAAGTTTCAGGTGGTGCCAGTGGTTGAAGGCAAGAAGCTGTGATGTAGCTCAGCTGAAGGCTGTCATTGCGTCCTACCCATGGGAACTTGGGGGAAATCCCTATTATGTTTTCACAAAGGATCCCCAAGACCAAGTTTTAGAGAAGTGAAGGGATATGATCTAATTTATTTTCTTTCAAGGATCTTTCTGGTTGCTGTGAAGAGGAAGAATCATAAAGGAGAAAGACTAGGATCAGGAAAACAGATTAAGGTGTTGACATTCTGAATATCCCACGGACTGCCTGAACAAACAAGCTCACATGCTTTGGACATGTTGTCAAGAGAAGCCAGTCCTTGGAAAAAGACTTCACAAAAGGTGAAGGTTCCAGAGAAACAGTGGAAGAACCTCAATGAGCTGGATCGATATAGTGACTGAGCATATCAGAAATGATGAAGATGGTTTAGGATAGGGCAAGGTTCAGATCCATTGTTCCTAGGGTTGCTTTGATTTGTAGTGGACCCAACAGCACTTAACAATAACAACAGCAGCAGTGGACTCGAGAAGGATGACAGTGATGTGGGCAAGAACAGAGTGTAGATCGAGACAAGGTGAAGAATCAAAGTAATTTGATTTTTATCTTAATGCTTGGAAAAGACAGTCATACAAAAATGTTAAACTTTGAAATTTGTGTGGATAATCATACAAGAAGGTTAAGTTTGGCAGTAAGTAAAGTGACACAATCCGAGGCGTACATAACGAGAATCACTAGCTTTCCTGACAGCCTTGCGATTTAACATTTCAGACATCTTCTCACCTCAGGGAGAGCTTCAATAAAGGAATGGATATTTGCTGCATTTGCTACTTCTTTTATCTCATCCAGTGGCACAACACGGCTGTTGTCACCATAGGCAATGTTGTCAGCGATGCTGCAGTTGAAGAGCACGGGCTCCTGGGAGACGATTGCTATTTGGGAACGGAGCCACTGTACATTCAGTTCCTTTGCGTCCACACCATCAAAGAGCTGCCAGAAGCAGAATGGAGAACGGCATGTTAAAATCTGACAACTGTATTATGTTATGGTCTGCTTTAATGATTTCATATTCAAACATACACAAATCATAACAAGAAGGAAAGGAATTCAAGCTATTTCCAAGTGTCATGTTACCCAAGGAAGGATCATAAATCGTCTATTGTATAAAATAAAATCGTCTGCAGCTGACTAATATGCTGGCTCCTGCACTTCTCTGACGTTTTACGATCTTGAAACTTGCCTTGTGACCTGTTCTAAAGTCAGATGGATAAATGCCAACTACCTTCTTCACTGTTAGAGAACTGTATGCTATGTAAGCCCAATTAGAAAGGAGGATACTGAGGGATATAGTGTTCTGCATGTACAGATATGTCACTCTGTATATTGCTGTTAGGTGCTATGATCCCGAGTCACAGCGATGTTGCATAAGACAGAAAGAAGCACTGCCCCACGTTCAGAATTGTTGCTATGTTTAACGCCACTGTTACAACCACGTCAACTTAGCTCATTGAGGTTTTCTTCTTTTTGCCTGACCTTCTCCAAGGACTGGTCCCTTCTCATAACATGTCCAAGGTATGTGAGGAGAAAGAGTCCCACCAACTTCCCTTCATTTCTTTTTTTTTTTTTAAGAAAATAACTTCATACTTTATTTAGTTCAAGTAATTACATCACAACAGTTAGTTTAAGGAGGCCACACAAACAAACACCTTTTGGCACTAGTGACATCATCTCAGTCACCAACAGAGATTCTGGAGCAGCAGTGCCGTGAGGGTTGGAGGAGAGCTGATGGGCACGTGTACCTTTGACAATGTCACTTTCATTCTAGTTTCATGTGGATTAACTCAGTACTGTGAGAGCATTTTCCATTTCTTTATTCTGAACTTTCTCATTACATCAATTCCCCCATGCCTGGCACTGCTTCAGGACCTCCAAGAAGCCCTCGCAGAGCAGGAGGTCACTCTGGTTGTTGGCATATTCCATGAACTGCTTCTTCTGGAAGGAGCAAGGGCCAGGCTCCACCTGGGATGCCGACTGGCCTCTGTATGGCTCCTGGTAATTGATGTCGGGCCTTGCTCACTCATTACTGTCTCCACTGAAGTCTCCAGCGATGCCATGGCCCAGTGTGTGCCCAACGGCAGAGCCCACGGCCACGCCGGCAGCAGTGGTTGCCATGTGGACCATCAGGCCAGGCTGCCAGGGTGCAGCTGCTGGGGCCCCGACTGCAGACTGTGGGGTCGGGGCTGGCGACTGAGCTCTCAGTGCTGGCTTGGCGCGGCTCTCATCTGAGGGGCCTGGCTGGCCCAAGGGGCCATGTGGGAAGTGCTGCTCTAGCTTCCCTCACCATCCTCCCTTCTAAGTAGCATTCTGGCTGCATTTCTGCCAGGGAAGATTCATTTATTCTTCTGTCATTTCATGATCATTCTTTGCCAAGATAATAATGCAAACATGTTAATCCTTTGTTGTTGTTGTTGTTGTTATGTATTGTTGAGTCAGAACTGACTCATAGCTGACCTTCCAGCAGATTGTCAGAGGCAGTTGATCATATAGGAAGAGATTGTCCATCTTTCTCGATGGAGAAGCCGGCAGATTTGAGCTCCTTGGCAGTGCAATTACTTACCACTAGGCCACCAGTCTGGTCCCACTGACACAGTCACTGTCAACTCATTTCATTTAGGTTCCTCTTTAGCAAACCTCACCATCTGCAGCATATCTGATCCCATTGCCACAGGGGTCAGGTTCATCCTGGATGAGACGGATTGACACAGTGACTGGCAATGGGGTCAGGTGAGTTGGAGACATTGAGGTTGGCTCAGGACAGGGCAAGGTTCAGAGTCATTGTTCATAGGGTTACTATGAGAGGTAGTTGACTTGATGGCACCTAATAACAACAACAAAGCCACCAGAGCTCCTCATCACTGGGCTAAGGGGCAGCATCATGAGAGATGGAGAAAAGTTGACGTTGTTTCATCTTGCTTGAATCCATCATCAATATCTTTGGCACCAACTGTCAGGGAAGACAAGTTGCATTGAGAAAACCTGCCGTCAAGGACCTCTCCAGAGTGCCAAAGAGCAAGAATGTCAGTCTAAAGACTAAGATGCACCTGATCTAAACTACGGTCTTTTTTAATTGCTTGCTGTGCACCTGAGAGCTGGACAGTGAATGAGGATGACAGAAGAAGAATTGATACCTTTGAGCTGTGGTGCTGGAGAAGAGTATTGAATATACCATGGATTGCCAAGAGAACAAACAAGTCTGTCCTGGAGAGAGTGAAACTAGATAGTTCCTTGTAGGTAAGGTTTCGAAACTCTATCTCACATACTTTGGGAGTGTTTCCAGAAAGGACCAGTCCTTGGAGAAGGACAACATGCTTGGGAAGGCAGTTCAGCAGACGCGAGGAAGTCCACTGATAGGATGGACTGACACAGTGACTGTGCCAGTGGGGACAGGTGTGTCAGAGATGGTAAGATTGACTCAGGATAGGGCAGCGTTCACAGACGTTGTTAATAGAGTTGAGTTGAGTCAAAGTCAACTCAACAGCACATAATAACTGTAATAGCAAGAGCACGAGAGTAGTTCCCTATTTTTTTTAGCCTTCCTTGTTTTGTACCTCGCTATCTTTATTCACATGGATATACAACAACATTCAATTATGTTTAAAGAACTATACCAAAGTACTGAAGAGCAATGGTGTCTCTTTGGAAACTAAGGTGCGTCTGATACAGGCCATGGTCTTTGCTATCACTTGTTATGCATCAGAGAGTTGGACAATGACTAAGGAGCATAGAAGGAGAATTGAAGCCTTTGTGCTATGGTGCTGGAGAAGAGTATTGAGAGTACCATGGACTGCTAGGAAAACAAACAGATTCATCTTGAAAAGGGTCAAACTGGGCGGCTCCTTGGAGGCGAGGATTCTGAGGCTCCATCTAACATACTTTGGACATGTTGCAAGGAGGGACAGGTCCTTGGAGAGGGACATCATGCTTGGTAGGGTGGAGGGACAGCACAGAAGGGGAAGGCCCCCTATGAGGTGGATTTATTCAGTAATTGGGGTAATTGGGATGGGTGTATCGGAGACTGTGCAATTGGCACAGGACAGAGCAGAGTTTAGGGATATTGTACGACTCGACAGCACATAACAACAACAATAACAACATACCTAAAATGTAATGAGGATATCAGCCTGGGTATAATTGCGTCATAGCTTTGACCCTTCTGAAGCCTACATTCTAATAGAGAGCAGCAAGCAATAAACATATTAACAATTCAATAAACTCAGAAGAGAAAGTTTCAGATGCTAGAGGCACTGTCTGATTTTATGGACTGTAGCTTATTCTATCTTGGGCAGGAAACTATTCAACTCATTGCTGTCAAATTAGAGCTGACCTACCAGTGGGTTTTCAGAGGTTGTAAAGTGCATGGGAAAAGATTGTCAACTTTTTTCTATGGAGCAGCTGGTAGATTTGAACTGCCTGATTTTGGGTTGGCAGTGCAATACCTTACCCAGTACACCACCAGAGATCCTTAGGAAGCCATTAGGGTGCTTAAAATGGGAAATACACTATCTGTATAGATGGTTAAATAAACCTTTCCTAGTCCAAGGGAGTAATTTTGGGCTATTTCATTTTGCAAATATTTGGTGAGAATCTGTGATGTGAAAGAGACTCTAAATTTTGCTAGAATAAAGGCTAATACAACAGCTTTTGCCCATAAGGCTGCTACAGCTTGTGTATGTGTGTGGAGGAGATAGGACAAGAAGGGATATGCTTACGTGAGAGAGTGAGGGCGAGAGCAAGAGCGAGGGCTAGTAGATGGTGGTTGGAGAGAACATAATGGAAAATCAGAATACATCTTACAAAAAACAAGAGCCAGGTTAAAACAAAACAAGACAAAACAAACAGCTCATGGGATTCAAAAGAGGGAAAGGCTGCATCATTTTTTGAAAGTAGGAGGCACAATTTAATGAAGCTGATTCTAATAAACCATCATTAGGAATAAGGGTTTGATAGTTATGAAGCAAATATTGATGGTGTGGCTAGCAAGAGTAGCCAAAGGCTTGAACTAAGGAGGTAAAAGAGAATTATTTTAAACTACAACAGAATAATTACCGTAAACTAGAACAGAATAAAGAGTATGGCATTAACTCTGCCTTCCAATATTAAAATTAATATTTTAAGTGTCTCATCTTTGGTTATTTATTTATTTGTTTATTCTCTTAAGTAAGGGCTAGGATAGAGTTGGATTTTTTGTGGTGTTTTTTTTTTAACTTCTTACTTTTCCCCCCAACCAAATGAGAGAAGATGCTTCAGCTCACATGAGTATTTTGGAACAGTCCCAGCGTTTAATTCCATCTTACCACTTGCCCTTTCAGGGGGTCATAGAACCGCTGCAGAAGCTCAATGCAAGTGCTCTTCCCACAGCCACTGCTCCCAACAAATGCTACTGTCCACCCTTTCTCGATAGTGAGGCATAAGCCCTGAAGGATGAGGACATCTGGGCGACATGGGTAGAAGAAAGAGACATCTCGAAACTCTAAATTCCCTTCACATATATCCTGTTAAAAGAGGTTGACAGCATTTAGCCACCAGAGCTTCCTAAACACAAACTAAGAAGGTATCAAAATGGATCTTTCAAGAGTGTGCACGCTGGTAGTTGTAGGGTTTTCAAATGTGTTCCTTACAGTGATTTTTAGTATAATCTCAGCCAAGTGTGTAGGCAGGAGGCAGGGGCAGTGGGATGGGAGGAACACCCAAAAAGTGTTTGATGGTGCTGTTACTCTGCTATTAAAGGGATGAAATGTGAAGAGATGGTTAAGGGTCCTAAAATTAGGGAAAAAAAGTCTGGAATGATATATGTGAAAATATTACACATAGTAATAGAAAATATTATTTTCTTTTTTTATGCTCATGGGTTTACTGTTTTGTCCTCTATAAATACTTCAAATAATACTGTGTAGAGGAGGAAAATACAAAACACTAAATGAATAATACCTGCAAATAGGTTAAAAATACTTGCAAAAAAGATTAAAAAATCCACTACAGAGTTGTTGATACTGCCTTCGAGTTGAGCACGACTCATAGCAACCCTATGAATAAAAGACCTAAAGCCTTTCTGTAACTATCAACATTTATCAAAGTTCATAGAATTTCTGGAGACATCTTGTTTAGGAAGTGGATGCCACTCCGGCTTCCAACAAACCCACCACAGAGTACCACAGAAAAATGGAGAATTCAGTTATCACTGTGCATGCACTGGTGCTTTCTGACCACCCAGGAAGATATGCTGGGAAGCTTCTAGACTTTAATACATTTTAAGATTTACTCTTACTTTTTTTAGCACAACAATTTCAAATATATATAAAGAATAAAGTAATATCCCTATCATTCAACTTCAACAGTTATAAAGATTTGCCAGTTTTTATTTACTAGACTTTTAAAAAATAATAGTGATATTTAGAAGCTTCTACATTTTGAATAAAATTTAGGTAAAGTAATTGAATTTTATAATCTTTTAAAGAAACATTTCTATATTCTATGATTATACATGGTTCTATACATCGATGAGAGACACTCAATTATTCTATAATAAAGTTTAGGAAGAAGTAACAGGAGAAATAGGTTCATGTACTTATAGCACAAGATTTAAAAACACTAACTGCTTCTCCTTTCTTTTACATTCCAAAAGAGAAGTATTTACTCTTATTCTTAGTATGGTGGGTATTTGAGCCTTCTATTTCGAGGATTTCAAGACTTTTTCTTTGTGTCATTAACAGTGGACATCCATGTTAACAATTGTGTAACGATTATGTAGATAACATTGTTTAAACTTCCAGACATATAATTCTACCATTGAAGATCTAGAGGGAAAACAATTCAAGTAGAAACTTTATTTTAAATATGAACCTAATGGCTAGTCTTTCTTTTAAATTTAAAATGTCCATAAGTTGTTAAAATGGAAAAGATATTTAATGTATAAGACAATTATTGCAAGCTTTTTAAAATAAAATCTTGCTATTATTGCTTTAAAATATTCATAGTTTTAGAGTTTATGACTCTCTGTGTGTGCATAGAGTTCATTAATAAACATACTTCCTTTTCCCTCTGACTGCAGAGATATTTCTTATGGCGGGGGAAAGGGTGTTTGAAGCAGTAGAATCTTACTTACATTGTATACATTGAGTAAACAAAAATAACAAATTTTCACTCAAGACTAAAATATAATATAGAAATCAATCCTTTGTCAATAAATATTCATGACATCAGCAAATTAATGAATGGTTTCCATTTTTATATAAATATTTATATATTTTAGTCTAAGTGAACATTTGATTATGAAGCTCCCCTTTTACTATTGCAGCCACAACAATTATTTTAGATAATACATTCTTTACATTATTTTAATGTTATCTCTGGCCTAATTGTCCAATAACATCTCCACTTAAGCCTCTATGTAGAAATCAGGATATGTTTAATTTCTAGTAAATGCTGTGCTTACTGGCTTTTTCCCTTTTGGACTGTAGCTGTCTATGGTTGGCTTTTTCTCCAACAATGCAAACAGATGTGCAGCACCAGACTTGGCTTTGGAATATTGAGGCGCCCAAACAAGTGTTTCTCCAATCGCCAAAGCACCATAAGCCACTGCAGTAAAAATTCTGTCAAAAGAGAAGGCTTACTTTAAGAAAGTGGACTTCCAAAAGTAAAAGTGGACATAGAAACAGTCTTTTGCTTATATAATGCCATTGATACGGAAAGTCCAACACTGTCTTTTTAAATTACTATTCAAATGGTAATCATCCCTTGCTTTGCATATCAATATAACTTTTGGGGCTTGGGTAATCTTAAAAAAACTCTCTTCCAATCAGAGAGAGAGAGAGAACGAGAGAGAAAGACACACACACACACACACACACCCAGAGAAAGACACCAAAGTCCCTAGATTGTGAACATAAGCTTTCTTTTTGTGACCACCTCAGTATAAGTCTGGCTTGCTAGCTTAGAGATACAGAGATTACAGCAGACAATAGAAGAATGGACCTCCCTCCAGCTGTGAGATCTGAATTTATACAATAGACATGGAGGTAGGGTTGGGTTTTGTTTTGTTTTTTTTTTGTTGTTGTTGTTTTGCATATAATGCAGTTAGAACAGCAGATAATTAAAGCTAGATGATCGGTTATCTCTCGATGGTACTCCACAATTTAAAAAAAGCAAAGCGTGGGGAATGGTATTCTACCAATGACTCCAAAACAAAATCTAGCTAAAGTAGATTTTGGTTAACATAGGGGAAAAGAGTTTTGATCTTTTAGATTTGCTGTAGATTAAGATCTTAATTTCCACACATATTAATTAAAGAACTGTTAATATGCAGATGCTGTTTGGAATTTCATGGAAACATATCCTATCACATGGTCACAGTTAAAATTTTTTCCTCCTACTTTTCTATTTCATTTCAAGCATGAAAACATTACTAGGTTAAAAAAAATCAATATGTCTCAATAGGAGAGCTAAAAGTAGAATTCACTTACAACCAGGTAAGTTTCACTGTCAGTGTTTAAACATTAGGCAATAAAAGGACATCACAAAGCCCAATGGCTTGTTTGCTGTACTGGATCACAGCAAGGCAAATACATCTAGGCTCCTTGTGACTGACTCCTGCCTTGAAAACTATCCAGGGGTGGAAGACGATACAATCTCTTCAGTGACCTACATCTCATATCACGAATCTTGTTGTCTTTACAAAGGTCAAACAATATAAAATAGATCTGTTTACCAGGATGCCTGATGTTAATATTATTATACCAGCTAGTCCTGTAATATCAAGTAATTTTTAGAACTAATTTACAGAAATGAATAGGCTTAGGATAACAGTGAGAAGAGTGGGAATTCCAAATCACTTTGTTGTTGTTGTGTGTATCATCAAGTTGGAACTGACCCAAAGCTGACCCTCTAGTGGGTTTCCAGAGGCAGTTAATTGCCCATCCTTGTCCTGTGGAGCAGTTGCTAGATTTGAACTGTATGCCTTAGGGATTGCAGCGCAGTTTCTTACCTCTAGGCCATGAGATATAAAACTTATACTTAAGACCAACAAGCTGTTGTCTGAACAGAGCAAGGCAAAACTACATTAAAATTAGGACAGGTGTGAGTCAAGGCTGTATCTTTTCTCCATACTTACTCAATCTGTATGCTGAGCAAATTATTAGAGAAGCTAAGGTGTGCCTAATACATGCCATGGTCTTTGCAATCACTTGCTATGCATCAGAGAGCTGGACAATGACTTGGAATAATAGAAGGAGAATTGATGCTTTTGAGCTGTGGTGTTGGAGAGTATTGAATATACCACAGACTGCTAGGAAAACAGACAGGTTTGTCCTGGAGAGGCTGAAGCTGGGCTGCTTCTTGGAGGCAAGGATTCTGAAGCTTTGTCGGACATACTCAGTCCTTGGAGAGGGATGTCATGCTTGGGAGGGTGGAGGGACAGCGCAGGAGACGGAGACCCTCGATGAGATGGATTGATTAGTCACTGGGGTAATGTGGATGGGAGTGTATGAGACAATAAGATTGAAAAGGGATAGAGTAGGGTTTAGGGCTGTTGTACATAGGGTCACTATGAGTTGCAGGCGACTCAATGGCACATAACAATAACAAAAACAAACTCTATGAAGAAGAATGGGGCATTTGCTTTGGAAGAAGACTCATCAACCAGTCTTGTATAAATGTCACAGCCTTGCTTGCTTGCTAAAAGTGAGGACTGGAAGCACGTGCTGCAGAAGATCAAGTACTACAGCCTTCAACTTCAAGAAGACAAAAATTCTCACCACTAGGCCCATAATGATAGAAGGCCTTATGAGAGATGGAGAAAAGATTGAAACTGTTGACAATTTCATCTTACTTGGAACCATAATCAATACCCTTTGTTTCAGCAGTCAAGAGATCAGGAGATGTATTGCCATGGGAAACTCTGCAGTCAGGGACCTCTCCAAATTACTGAGGAACAATGAAGTCAGTTTAAAGACTAAGGTGCACCTGATTCAGGCCATAATAGTTTCAATGACTTGTTATGCATATGAGAGCTGGACAATGAATAAGAATAACAGAAGAAGAATGGATGCCTTTGGGCTGTGGTGTTGGAGAAGATAATCCTTTGGACTGACAAAAGAACAGACAGATAAGTCTTGCAGAAAGTGCAGCCAGAGTGTTTCTCAGAGACAAGTATGGCTAAGCTTCACCTCATATACTTTGGGCATGTTGCTAAGAAAGGCTATTCCTTGGAAAGGAACATCATGTTTGAAAAGATAGAGGGTCAGTGAACGAGAGGAAGATCCTCTGACACAGTGACTACAACAGTGGGTTCAAGTATGTCAGAGATGATGAGGATGGCACAGGAACGAACAGGATTCTGATCTGTTGTTCACAGAGTTGCTTTGAGTCATTCTCAACTAGATAGCACCCATTAACCAGAACAACATAAATATCAAAGCACTTGTTTCGTTTAGGTAGCATAATCAGTATTTTTGTTGTTGCTACTGTTTATAATGAAGGGAAGATCAGACTGAACTTTTCTGATTCAAGTCATTAAGTAAGGCAAGAGCATACTGAGTTTTGAGTCAGGAGACCAGATTCTAGTTCTTCAGGAACAGAGGCTTCTTAAAACTTAACTGAAAAGAGTTTTCTTTTAATATTAAAGATATACCAAAATACCTACCTGTTTTGAAGTTTCCACCATTACAGCCATTTTACACATAAATAAAAAATATATGCATGTAAGCATCAATAGCCCATGGAAAAGAGGAAGACCCTCAATGAGACGAATCAGCATCACTACTAGAACAATGAGCTTGAGAATGGTGGACTTCGTGAAGATGGTGCAGACAAGGTTTTTGCTGTTTATAGGGTCATTATGAGTCAAAGTCAACTCCATAGCACTCAACAACAATGATTGCCTCTGTTAATTCTCTTTTAAAATGGAATTATTTATCAAGGTGTGGAGAAGGGTCTTCTATATAGATCTTGAGTCTGTGAGAGATAAAGGACCCAAAGAATAGACAATAATATAAGAGGAAAATTTTAGTAAAGAAGGGATAATAATATCTACAGGCTCTGATGCTGTCTCTGTTAGGTAAGGGTAAGAGGAAGAAAGGCAGATGGGAGTGATACTAAAAACCTGGAGAAGCATCTAAACTTTTAGTGATGACTTATCTGGAGGTGGAGCCCAGGACATGAATTTCATTTATACTTTTTTTTTCTTTCAGGATAGGTTCTATACAAACCTCACCTGTTGGTGTTTGCTGTGGAGTCATAATAGACCCATTGCTGGGTTTTCAGAGGCAGTAAAGGAAGAGATTGTCCATCCTTCTACAGCAGAACAGCTGGTGGGTTTGAACCAACTACCTTTGAGATTGTAGCACAGATTCTTGCCACCAGAGTTCCTGTAAACCTAGGACCACCCAGAAAACTAATTTGTTATAGAATCTGTCCTAACTTATGCTAGCTAGTTAGCTTGAACTGGTTAAAACAGCAATTCACTTCCATTCAACAAGTATGTATTAAATAACAATTAGTGATGTAACTACATGATAGAATTATACTGGATTATATTATATGGATGGATTTTTTAAATCCATTAAAATTCCCAGAGGCATGTAAACAGAGAACCTCTCCTAGAAAAATGTTCCAGCTAATATCTCATGCTTTTTTTTGCCTTCAAACACTTCACAGTACGTAAAAAGTAATGCTTTACTATAAAGGCAAATACTCTGGGCCTACTACCAATGCATTTGTTATCAAAGTATAGATCTATTACTTACATATCACCTTTACTTTTATACATAAAATTAGACATATATCCTTAATTTGATGATGTTGTTGCTCACTGCCTTCGAGTCGAGCACGACTCCTAGTGACCCCATGAACAAAAGGCCTGAAGCCCCTCTACAACTATCGACATTTACCAAAGTTCATAGTTTGATAATGTTGTTGTTGTTGTTAAGTGCCGTTGAGTCGTTTGCGACTCATAGCGACCCTATGTACAACAGCCCTAAACCCTGCTCTATCCTGTGCCAATCGCATTGCCTCTGACACACCCATCCCGATTACCCCAGTCACTGAATCAATCCACCTCATAGAGGGTCTTCCCCTCTCGCCCTGTCCCTCTACTCTACCCAGTATGATGTCCCTCTCCAAAACCTGTCTCTTCTTACAACATGTCCAAAGTATGTCAGATGAAGGCCCAGAATCTTTGCCTCCAAGGAGTAGCCTGGTTTAACCCTCTCCAGGATGAATCTGTTTGTTTTCTTGGCAGTCCATGGTACATTCAATACTCTTCTCCAGCACCACAGCTCAAAGGCATCAATTCTCCTTCTGTCCTCCCTAGTCATTGTCCAGGTCTCTGATGCACAACAAGTGATTGCAAAGACCATGGCCTGTATCAGGCGCACCTTCGTCTCCAGAGAGACACTGTTGCTCTTGAGTACTTTAGAGAGGTCCCTAACAGCAGACTTTCCCATCGCAATACATTTTTTGATTTTCTGGCTGCTGGTGCCAAGAGTGTTGACTGTGGAGCCGAGCAAACTGAAGCTGTGGACAATCTCAATCTTTTCGCCATCCATCCTGATGCTACCAGTTGGTCCAGTGGTGAGAATCTTTGTCTTCTTGACAT